TAATGATTCTTAACCAATGCTTCAAGAACACTGGTTAGTATTATCCTAATAAATTATATATTTTTTTTTTCATTCTCATTGTTAAATATTAATTATATGAATGTCAAATTTTTATTTTATTATACGAAATGACCTATATTATTTTTGTTTGTTTTGAAAATGAATAAATTTATATAAATTGTAAGACATTTTCATTTAAACTGGTTAGGAATGATGAGACTTGATCCATAAAAATGTTAAAATTATAATTACTATGAATTTTATGATTAGGGTTCTACGTGGTGATATTAATTTTAACAAATTACCGAGTCAATTTACCTAAAACATCAACACTTGTAACATATCAATTTCACATATGAAAGATTTAAAATAGCTAGTTATTTTAGAGAAATATTTGATATTTTATAAATTTAAGTTTCAAGCAGTCAAACATGTTAATATACTCCTCTAAATTTTTGTTAATAAACAAGATCATAAATGTTAATATATGCCTCTAAATTTTTGTTTTCACTTAAATTAATTATGATGAATTTATGTGATGCAGTTGGTTCGTTGGTCTCCACCTTTCGAGTATCAGGTGGCTCTCAATGTTGACGGGAGTTCTTATGGGAATCCAGGAAGAGCAGGTTATGGAGGCCTGATTAGAGATCATAATGGATCTTGGATAATAGGGTTTAGTGGACCCGTTAGTTTCGCCGACAGCGTAGAAGTTGAATTATTAGCAATACAAAATGGATTAACCCTTGCTTGGAACATGGGCTTTAGAGATGTGAGTTGTAGATCAGATTGTACGAAAGCTCTCTCTATGATTCAAGATTCAGTATCTCACGCTTGCAAATATCTTCATATTAGAAACGCTATTGAAGAACTTATTTGTAGAGATTGGAGAGTTTCATTTACTCATACTTATAGAGAAAGCAACCAATGCGCAGATTTTATGGCAAAGTGTGGAGCAAATGCTATGCTTTGTTTAGGAATTTTTGAACAACCACCCCCTTGCTTACATTCTTTGCTTGTAAGTGATGCTATGGGAACCCCTTATACAAGATATACAAAAGTATAACTATAATTTCTCATTAATAATGTATATAATTGTTCGACTAAATGAAATTGATTCAAAATCATATGTGAACTTTTATTAATGATTTTTTATTTTGTGACATCTATCTTTTTTTATATGAACACTTTAAAATGTTGAAGTTTAGGTTAATTTATATAATTCACATGAATCTTTATTTGAAATTTTTAAAATTTTGTATTAGAAATTTGGTGTACATATATATCTATATATCCTTTTAGGTATTTAACCTATTGTATTGTGCGCGTGAATAAACTCATCAAAAATAAATTAAATTCAATCGAATCAATAAATTCAATGATTTTGGGCTACAAAATGTTATTTTCTAGTTTTATTGAATAATGATTTTGAGCTACAAAATATAATTGCTTAATCTATGATTTAAAGGATCCATTAAAAGAATGTTTCAATATTTCACTTAGCTTCACTCCATTTGTAAGCGATATTTTCCTTCATGAAGACCGATAATAATTTACTCAATATAGCTTTAATAAATTTTAAGAGCCAATAATGTATTACTCCAAAACTTATAGCTTTAATAAATTTAAAGAGCATCTCAATAATTTAATTAATATAGCGTTAATAAATTTGAAGAGCATGTCAATAATTTTGTTAAAGAAAGGATTAAAAATTAAAAGAAAATCTTTTTAGGTAAAGTATTGTTAGAGTCTCCTATTTTATACTATAATTGTTTTTACTTAGTCGACTTTAATATGTTCTTTCATCCCATTTTAAATATTAATTATAAGAATGTCAAATTTTTATTTGACTTCTTCTGTTTAATTCTAATAGATTTAGACATTCTAATTAAATTTGAGTTTTGATTAAAGAGTAAATATTTATAATTTTCACACAAAAATTTAACAACTTAGAACATAATAATTCATTAACATGCAAGATATGTGGGCCACTTTTACTCAGCAACAACAAACCACAACTCTTTTTTCTTATAGATTTATTATGCTTTCGTTAAAATAGCAATGATGAATGAATCAATCCTTGCTTGAAATTTTGGGTACTGAGATCAGAGTTATAGGCTTCTCTTTTATTCAAGACTGGCTATCTTAAGCTTACAGATATATTTATTACTATAAAAAATTGTCTCTACAGATTCGAGAGTTTTAATTTTCCACACTTATAAAAAAGATAACCAATATGCAAATTTTATGGTAGATTTTTGAGTAAACTTTATATGAATTTTTGAATAAACACCTCTTGTTTATCTTCTTTACTTTTAAGTTGGAAACTCCCTTTACAAGAGTATAGCTATCATTTCTCACTGAGTTTTGTATGATATGTTTGATTTAATGTGATTGATTTAAAGTGACACATGAACATTTATTCTTCAATTCCTTAATTTAATTTCAGGTTTCACTTTAGTCCCTTATTTGATTAACGTTTATTTTAAGTCTTTTAAATGTATTTCTGTTATCTACTTTAATCATGTATGTTAAATTTTGTGAACTTCCATTAAATTATGCATGTGTGGCACTCTGTTTGGTAATAGGTTTGATGACATCGAATTATTTTATTTCATACTAATTTAAAATGTAAAGTTTAAAAACAAAATAAGTGGTTTCATTTCATTAAACATCAAGCCCTATCCCCATTCTTTAACTTCTTTCTCTCGTTCTCCAATTCGTTACTTCACTCTCTCGTTTTTCTTCTCTATTTCTCTTAATCTCACACCAACACCACTTGGTCAAAGATTCAATGTTGGGTGATTTGCTGTTTTGATTCTTTAGGACTTGAAACCACTCAAGTCATGAATTTTAAAGGTGGAACTCAAACAAAATTTTCAAGAGGTATATGTGTGTGTGTGTGTCACAACCTCCTGGATTTGTGAAAAATAATCAGGAAGGGATGGTATACAAGTTACATAAAGCCTTGTATGGATTGAAACAAGCGTCCAGAGCTTGGAATCTGGAAATTGATTCGTTTTTCAAGAGGCAGAAGTTTCAGAAATGTGAGATGGAATATGGCGTGTATGTGCAGCATTCTGGTGGCAATATGATTTTGGTGTGTCTATATGTTGATGACATATTGCTAACAGAAAGTTATCTAGAAGATATAATCAAGTTCAAAGAAGTTCTGATGAATGAATTTGAGATGACAGATCTGGGAAATATGGTATATTTTCTAGGAATGGAGATTTTATACTCAAAGAAGGGTATTATTTTACATCAGCTGAAGTATGAACTTGAACTTCTAAAGAGATTTAAGCTACAGAATTATAAAGTTGTTGTGACACCATCAGAAACCAATCATAAATTAGATTCTGATTCTGATGGTGATTCTGTGGATGCTACGAACTTCAAACAGTTGGTTGGTTCTCTCAGGTATTTGTGCAATACCAGACCTTACATTTGTTATGCAGTTGGAATGGTTAGCAGATTCATGAGTAAACTAAAGTGGTCTCATTACCAAGCTGATGTCAGGATTCTGAGGTATATCAAGGGAACTCTGAAATATGGAGTGCTATTTCCTTCTGGAAGAAAGACAGAACTAGAAATAGTGAGTTATTCTGATTCTGACTGGTGTGGAGATAGAGTTGACAGAAGAAGTACTTCTGGTTACTTGTTCAAGTTTCTGGGAGGTCCTATTTCTTGGAGTTCCAAGAAACAACCTGCTGTGACTCTATCAATGTGTGAAGTTGAGTACATTGTAGGTGTTATAGCTGCATGTCAAGTTGTTTGGCTTCTGAATCTTCTGGAGGATTTGAAGATTGAGATAGAGAAACCTCTGAAGTTGTTGATTGATAACAATTATGCAATCAATCTTTCCAAGAATCCAATGTTGCGTGGAAGAAGCAAGCATATTGAGACGAAGTATCACTTTCGGAGAAGTCAAGTACAGAAAGGAGTGTTAGAAGTTCAGCACTGTAGCACCCAGAAATAGCTGACAGATGTTCTGACGAAGACAATCAAAATAGACCAATTTCTTCATTTGAGGAATGAAATTTGTGTTGTTAGTTTCTGATAGATACTAAATTAAGGAATGATATTAAATGGTAATTTAGTATTTGCTATATTTGGAGAAAAACTTAGCTATTAAAGTTTATCTTCTTTTAGGGCCTATGTGGCATTCTTATGTTTGCTATCTTTGTGTATAAATATGTGTATCTAGGTCTCATTAATATTATTCAATTCCTTTACCAATCATTAGCAGCCGTCATTTTATATTTTCTCTCTTGTTCTCACTTTCATCACCTTGCACCAACAACTTTAATGGCTTTGTTATGTTGTTCTTCTATACATGCTTAGATAATATTAAAGATTGTAAACTAGATGCAACGCAAATGAATCAAAAGGAGAAGTTTGCAAAGAAGACAAAGCTGAAAAATGGACGAAATGTTGTACATCTTTCATGCAACCAATTTGCTATCTAAGCGTTTACATTGTGCTGATAAAATTCATTTTGATGCAGAAAAAAATCGTAGAGATGTTAAACAGTTGATAAATAATCCTATAGGAAGGAACCAAATTAGATAGATCTACAAACATTAGGAATATTATATCTCCTTATGACAAAGTCAACAGATCCAAAATTCTAATCTGATCAATTCAAAAAGGATAGTGGCGCAACTTCTTATCCTCTTTTCTATTTTTGTAATCTATTTATTTGAATTTTTATAATTCCATCAATTCGAAATTGTAAAATTGCAGGGCAATTAGCTACCATGTAAAACACAAATACAAAATATTACAAAATAAATATAATTTAACTTAACAAAATAATGCATCAATAGTGCATACAAATACATATACATTACACAAACATCTCTTCATCAAGAGTGTGTACCCTTTACCAACTAATTATTACTTTCCTATGTATAATACTATATATATATATTATATAATCCAAGGCAAATTTACTTTACTTAGTGCATATAACATGCACAAAATTCACCTATTAATTAGAATTAATAAGGAATCAAACTAGCAATTGAGAGACAATTGCTAACAGTGATACTAACTAAACCATCAGCCTTGGACTGTTCATGATGAGGTGATTCTTTAAGATCCTCAAAAGCACTTTCACAGGTTGAAACATCAGCCATAACAGTACTAAGCATAACGGTAACGGTACCGAGATCGCGCGCTGGAAGAGCATCCATAGCTTTTTGAAGATTGTCCATAGCATTTTTGTATTGATCCTTACATTCAAAGACTGCATTAGCAACCTCTGGATTCCTAGCTGCATGTTTAGCCACCTTTGCGATTGTCAACTTAATCTGAATCGAACAGGCTTTAATCGCGGCTTCGAGGACATTAATCATGTCGAAGTTTTGAGTTAGAAGAGGGTTGATAGTTGCGAGACAAATGTCGGGGTACTCGGTGTGCATGCAAATCTGTTCGATTCCGAGACTGCTTTGTTTTGCTTCCGAGTGTTCGGACTCAGACATAGCGGGTCTGCGAATGGAGCCTTGGAGAATGTCGGAGAACGCAGCTTTGAAGGAAGATGAATGACCGAACGATGTGCGTCCGTGTGCTGATTCTGCTTCTTCTGAAAATATGGGAGATTCATGAGGTGATTCTGAATGTTCAAATTGGGTTGGAGGTTCCGCCTGGTGATGATGATTCTGGTGATGATGCTGGTGCTGAGGAATCCCCGAGTGATGACGGAAGATTGGTTGTGGTTCAATGTTTGTTGCTGGGTGATCTGGGTATATGTGAGCCATGCAGTTTTCTACTGCAAAACATATTACGATTAGGTACAAAATTTTTAGGTCAATGTTGTTCATGTTGTTGATGAATTTCATGATGTTTGTTTAAGGTTTGGAACTTGTTATGGTGAATTATGTGTAAGATGATTTTATTTAACTTGTGAGTGGAACATCTTATATGAGTTTATTTCCATCAAAATAGGATGCTATTTGGGAATGGTAACCATTGTTTATGCTATGTTTTAGGGGATAACAATAACTTGTATGTGGTTGAAACTATACTACCTAAAAAAAACTTACACTTAAAATAAAGTTGACTGATTATCTCAATCTTCTAGCTAAGTCAAGATTTAGAAATAATTTCTCAATGTCAATGTAAACCTAAAAATTAAATTATATTGTGAAAATCAATTTTTAAAAGTAGTAAAAAATATTTATATATATTGGTGGTGGGAAAAATATATGCATAGTTAATCATGTCATATGGGGTTGGGATTCTCTCTCCCATGAATATATGGTGAAGTGAAATCTCCACGGTCCATTTTATTAACTTTAAATCAATCATGTCATTGAAATATGATTTGAATGGAGTGGATTGACATTTGACACTCTTCAATGAAAAATAAATGGGAGAGAGAATCTACACTCTATCATATGAGTCATTGTGACATGTTCGCTTAATCTTTGTTGAATTTATCATTAAAAGTAGAAATATAAATCATATTTATTAACTAACTATGTATATTTATTTTACTAATTGTTAATTAACATAAAAGTAATGTGATTTCATAAGTTAAATTAGGAGTGTGCATGATTACCATATATTGTGATCTAATATATTTTTATGATTATGATTTACAAATCAAATTATTAATCACAAAAACTGATTTAAAAAATATAATTGATTTTAAATCGGATTAAAATCGATTTGAAACCAGTTTTAATTTTAATCCAAATTATTTAAATATAATTTAATTTATATTCAATTTATTTTAATTAATAAAATTTTAAAATTAATTCAATATTAATTTTTTTAAACATTAATAAAGCATATTTTTAATTTAATTTTAAGCCGATTTTAAAAAATTGTCGTGGTCGTATTATAACTTGTGTAATTTCGGTCGATAGAGGTGTCACGACATTGATTGTGTTCGTCGCAGTGTAAATTATTAATTATAATTTTTTTTAATATAAAACGGATATAACAGTATCGATATCGACATATGTCTAAAACATTTTGTCGCAGTCGTTCTCATGGTCACAAAGTATTTTTTAAAACTTTTTTATGTTTAAATGATCTTTTTTATTTTATCAATCCTAAAAGAAAAATCAATTAATACTGAGATAGTATTAATTAATTCAATGTGCACACTCGTTTTCTTATATAAAGTATATGTATATTGAATGAAAATGAATCAAGTTTAAACAAATTTCTTTCAAATTTAAATTTGTCTTCTACGATGATAATAAATATCTTGTTTTTTAAATGTTTAGTATACTATATTTTTCAATTTATTTAAGAGTGTTTGCATATTTTTTAACTATAATTAAATATTTTTATATTTATTTAATAATTAATCATTTGAAATAAAGTGTTAAACATCATTCAATTTTTATGAAAATGTATAGAGCTTATTTTCTTGAGAAAGTATGAAAATTGGAAAGCAGGAAAACTTTAATGAGAGAAATTTGGATACCCAATAACTATTTTATAGGTATCAGTTTACCACTTTGACCATAGATGGACCACTAAATTCAATATTTAATATTTGAATTGGGTTTTAATAAATAGAACAATTTGGATATGAAATGGGTTATCAGGAATCAATTTTTTTGTACACCCCTAATCAAAACATGGATATAAATTTAAAGGGTGGTGGATTGTTCTTTCTAGATGTATATGAAGTTGTCTTTAGTGAGGCATTTTAGGAATTCGTTGTTTGGAAAATGGTCAACAACTTCTATACACGGGATATGGTAGATGTGTCTCATATCAATTTTATTTTATTTAAGTACTTATAAGACAAAATTATTGTGCCAAATGATTTAAGTACTAAGTTTACATTTGATGCACTTTTGAAATGGTACTTGTTCTGGACTGGGCCGGGCTGGCCCAAAAGCAATGGTGAAGGCCCAATCCAAACGGTCTTGCGAAGGGTCACGCCAACCAAAAGGCACATCCTTGCCCGACATCTCCTGCTAGTACGACGTCCTCGACTCCACGCTAACCTGCTCGACCTCAGCTCGAGCACTCCTCCTAGACAGACTCTATCCACTACGCCACCACCTGGATCCCGAAAAGACCGCGTCCTTGTCTGTTCGTACTTCATGCAGAACATCCAGGAAGGGGACCATGTGCGGGTCCCCACTACACACGTAGAACCTGGCAGTTCCTCCATTGGGCCAAACCTGCCCGGCCCAATGAAGGAACCTTGGCCCAGCGCTGGGGGCTATAAATACCCTCTGTTCCCAGAGGGTCAGATATTCATTCTTTTACCCACACTCATACTATTGCCTGCTCGTGCTCTTACTTACTTCAGCATCAGAGTGCCTTGCAGGTACCCCCCCCACCTCGTTCAAAACTTCAGCTCGGAGCCAGCCGTGACGGTCCAAGTCTGATCAGATTAGATCAGTGGCGCCGTCTGTGGGAATCTAGCTTCCCCGTCTTGCAAAACTCAAAGACCAAAGCTCAAATTCAACTACCACTGTCATGGCTGACCAAGCTCGCGATGAGCAGAACGTCCGTGTCGTCGACACTAACAACGGCACCGCGGACAAAAACGGACACCTTGATAACGCCGACAACCCCGGCCACAACACCATTCCTGCGACAACTGTCCCCGGACCTTCCACCTACCGGGACGGAGCTACTGCCTCATCTTCCCCGGTCCCTCCGCCACTCGAAGATGACCCGGCAGCCCTCGCAAACTACCGGGCTGCCCGGTTCCAGGAAGTCCTAGTCCCCGTCGGGGCGGATGCCACAACTCAAGCGCTGTTCGCAGCGATTAATCAAACGAACTATCTCATCTTCGCCCAAGGGGAGAGAGTAAGGGCGCTTGAAGACGATCGAAGACCCCCGAGGAGGCATCGGAGGCCCCATACTCCCCCTCCTCGAGTGACTGAAACCCAACTCCCGTCTCCCCCGCGGAGACATTACAGGGAAACCTCTCGAAGCCAATCACCCCGACCAAAGGGGAAACTGCCTCATTTGGAGAGGCAGCCCATCATTCAAGCCGGAGAACCTAGTCGCGACCCAGCGAGACAAGAAAGAAGGCACTCCGGAGACGGGCGTGTAAAATTCAACCACCGAGCATCCCGCTCGAGAGAGACTCAGCATGACCTGGACCGTCGTGCCAGACAGTATTACAGGTCCCCATCTCTGTCTCCAGAGAGAAGCGACGAGGACGACCCCCACGGTCCCCTGTCGCAAGCTATTATGGAAGCACCCATCCCCCCGGGCATGGAGAAACCCCCACACTTGAAGGAGTACGATGGAGTCGCGGACCCGGTCGACAACATAGACGGGTTCGAGGCTATGCTGCATTACCACAATGTCGGGGGGCCATCAAATGCCGACTATTCCCCACGACTCTCAGGAAGGCGACAATGAACTGGTACAAAGGACTCGCCCCGGGCTCAATCACCTCGTGGCGAAACCTGAAGAACCAGTTCATCAGTTCATTCACAGCTTCTCGGCGACATCCGAAGACCGAGGCGACCCTCGAGGCCATCATCCAGCGACAGGATGAGACCTTGAGGGAGTTCATCAATCGCTTCAACCGGGAAGCTATCAGGTCCCCTGCGCGGACCATATGAAGAGATATCTGCTGGAGAGGGGGCTCCTCCCCGGCACAGAATTCAGAAAGGCTGTGGGTATCGAGCCACCTAGGACATTCGACGCCCTCCTCGAAAAAGCTCGGGCATACATAGACTATGAGGAGAGGGAAGCAGCCAACAGAGCCCGAGATCCCAGAACTCGCGGGTCCAACAGCAGCTCGCGCCAAGAAGCTCCTCCTCGACGAACCGGGGAGAAAAGAAAAGAAGACAGACCCCGGGAAGTCTGGGAACAAAGAGGACCTTCAGGGAGTTTCACCGAGTACACTCCGCTCACAGCTTCCCACGAGCGCATTCTGGCAGAATGTGCCAGCACTGATTTCAAGGACGGCGGTGTTAAACGTCCCCGACCTGCTCCTGCCAAGCCCGGAGCAGACAAGAACAAGTATTGTCAGTACCATAGGAGCCATGGTCATCTGACTGAGGATTGCGTCCACCTCAAGGATGCCATCGAAACCCTCATCAAGGGAGGGAGGCTCGCGCAGTACCAGCGAAGCGACGCTCCCCATCGTGACGCCCAAGAAACTAGGGAGCCGGAGGAGGATGCCTGACCATCTGACGAGTCGGTCCCCATCCAGACCGCCTTCTCCGTGATCAGGCCCGAGGACTTCGACATTCCCGAGCACCTGCAGGAGCCGCTCACAATGCACAGCAGGTGGGAATATTTCCCCTCCGCCCTGGTCATCAACGGCGGCGGGTTCAACGACTTGACCATCAATTCAGCCAAGAGGAAGCTGGACGAGCTGGTAGACGCGGCTCCCCCGCAAACAGTGACGTTCGAAAGGGTGAAGGGCAGGTCAGAGCCCATCACCTTCTACCTAGAAGAGCTCCCCGGTGGAGCCCCGAACGCGGTCATCCCCTTACTGATAAGGGCCAGAATGGCCAATTTTGATGTACATCGCGTCCTCGTTGATGAAGGGAGTTCTGTCGACGTGATGTACAGCCAACTGTTCCGAACTCTACAGCTGGACGACTCACATCTATCTCCGTATGTGGGGTCGGACTTACAAGGTTTCAACGGCTCGACCTCCAAACCTTGGGGATATGTCGAGCTTCTGGTTAAGTTCGGCGAAGGGACGGCTACAAGACAAGTCAAGGTACGCTTCCTCGTCATTGACTTCCCGTCTCTGTACAACTGCATCTTGGGGAGACCAACACTGGCAGAACTGACAACGGTGCCCTCGACCGTCCACCTGAAGATGAAATTCTACACCAAGAGGGCACGGGTAACTACTATACAAGGAGACCTAGTCGCTGCCCGG